TGATATCTTGTACTGCAGTAGAGGTTTGCTGGCCTGCTCATTGCGTAGCACTTAGGGTGGCTGTAGGAGGAGTCTAAGATGTAGCTTCTGCTCTCAAAGGGTTGCCCAGGCTACCAGGGAACCAAGACTATTACATATCAAACAACTGTAAGACAACTAGTGTAAAATGGGCACCTGTAACCAATTTAGCACCGAATTTTATCAGGGAGGGGCCCTCTTGCCAGGAAGGATGTGAAACTGAATCTAAGAATTCAGAATAAATATGATTTGGATTGATGAAGAGCTGGAAACTGTAATTGAGTCAACAAACATTTCCTGATCACCTACACTCTACCAGTTGCTTTGTCACAGATGTGACTAAGTTATAGTCTTGCCCTCAAGGATTCCAGGCCTGGGGACGTGGCCTAATGGGAGGAAGAAGGGCATGGTGAGGAAGGAGTGTGATCTGAGTATTCAAAGGTTTTATGCTGATGAAGAATGACTGAGAAGGTTAGATAGGTTGGGAAGGGAAGTTTATAAAAAGCCCTTGGTAGCCAAGGAGAGAAGTTTAGAATGGACTCGGCAATTTTAGGGGAGCCATTGTGGGTCACCAACAACAGAGAGTGACCTGAAAAAAATTTTTCATCTGTAAAATGAGGATAATAGAAGCCACCTCAGTGTTTTTTATGAGGATTAAGTAAGTGAACATATTGGAAAGTCCTTAGAATGGTACCTGAAGTTCAATGAGCTCTATATAAATGGTAGCTATTATTATGGTGATTTGCCCAGCACCTAAAACAAGCTGACACATAGGAGGCACTTATTAAATTTTTTTATGAGTAAAGGGGAAGAAGTAGGGAGATGGGATGATGAAGACCATGTTTGAGGAAGAATGCCCTGGCAACTGAGGGCCAAGAACCCTTCTCTAGCCTGGCCTGAGAGACCTAAAATGTTCTCCCTTTCCACTGTTCATTCACTCCACCTGTAGTGGGCCAGGCCGTGGCTCTTGGTACAAGGGTTTAAAGCTGAGTAGGACATAGCCTCCGTTCTTAAGGAGCCCTCAGCCTAGAGCAGGGGACAGTCTAGTAAACTCATGATTACCCATGCGATGGAATTAGGTTCCATGGTTGAGGTATGTGTAGATGTATCTGGAACACCACACTGGGTCTTTAAAGACTAGTAGGAGGCTGACAGAAAGAGGGAAAGGAGATAGAAGGAGGGACAGGCGTTTCAGGCAGAGGACATATACGCACAGGAATGGAGATGAAAGGGGATGCCCGAGGTGAGGGAGATGAGGTTGACACGATAAACAGAGACAGGATCATAAAGAACCATATTTGCCATTCTAAGGAGCCCGGTCTTTCTTCTGAGGTCACTGGGGATTCAATGCATGACTTTTAGGCAGAACAGTAACATGGTCAGATTTATGAAAGATCACTCTGGGTGAAGGATGTTTGGGATGAAGCAGGACAAGGGGGAAGAAGAGGAGTTGTCAGGATTGGAAGATGGGGTCCTCATCTGATCCTGACCTGAAAAAGATTCCTAGAGGTCAGGGAAATGGCTTCCACATAAAAACATAATTTCCACAGCACGGTGCTGGGCACAGAGTAGGTACTGGATGGATGGGTGTGTGGGTGGGTGGATGGATGGATGGATGGATGGATGGATAGATGGATGGATGGATTTATGATTCCACTACACTGCTAGTTTTGTGCATGTTACCATTTCTCTTCTTCCCTCAGCCATCTATCTCTGTAAGAGGACAATGCAGAATAAAGCAAGGCTGGAATTGGCAGATTATGAAGCAGTAAGTATTATTATTTTCCAGGCTAGATGTGGGAGGTGGGTGAAAACATATCTGTAGCTCTGTTTAAGCTTGTATTTTTTCTCTTCTTCCCTCTCCAAACCCTTTCAGACAATGAAAGGGATGTCTTTTCTGCCTCCTTTCCTTTGTTCTCAGTTACCAGCACAATAAAGTTGCATCTTAATATAAAGAATTCTCAAATTCAACCATAAGGAAACAAACAACTCAATTTAAAGCTGGGCAAATGGACACTTCACGGAAGAGGACACAAGGATAGGGAAATAAACCTGAAAAGTTTCTCATCACTAAGTGCTGATGAGGATGTGGGACAACTGAACACTCATACATTGCTGATGAGAATGCAGAACGGTATAGCCATTCTGAAACAATGGTTTGTCAGTTTCTTGTAAAAGTTGAACATATGCTTAGCGTTTGATCCAGCAATGCTACTCCTAGTTACATATTCTAGAGAAACTAGAACTTTGTTCACACAAAAAACCTGTACACAAATGTCCACAGAAACTTAATTTGTGATAGCCAAAGCTGGAAACAGCACAAATGCCCTTCAACAGGTGAACAGTTAAACTCTGGTACATCTATATAAAAGAATACTGATCAGCAGTCAAAAGGAACAAGCTATTGATACATGCAACAACTTGGTTGAATCTCAGAGACGTTACGCTGTGTTCAAGAAGCCCGTCTCAAAAGGTTACAAACTGTATAATTCCATTTATATGACATTCTTGAAAAGATAAAACTATCATGATGGCGGACAGATCAGTGGTTGCCAGTGATGGTGAGTGGGGGGAGGGTGTGACTATAAAGAGCACAAGGGAGTTTTGGGGGGTGATGGACTATTCTGTACCCTGATTGTGGAGGTAGTTATACAGATCAATGCATCTGTTCGTAGGACTGTACACACACAAAAAAAGTCAAATTTACTTTGTGATCATTTTAAAAATTAAATACAGGCAGTCCCCGGGTTAAAAAGGAAACCGGTTTCTGAGTGTGTCTTTAAGAGCTAAGTCAGAACAGGTACATATGGTTATTATGTAGCCTTACCTGAGCGCTTAGTACTTAGTTTTAAAAGCTGCATGTGCAGCAAGTGAAAGTGATTGTGATGAAGAATTCGTTGCAAGCAGGGATTGGTCTGATCGTTTCAAACCGAGAGCAAATTTACGTAACATTAAAGGGCAAGTAAGAGTTGTTTGTAAATTGGACTTTCATAACCTGAGGACCGCCTGTATTGCATCTTTATACCCACTCACCTGTCCTAGGCAGCAGAGGTGGAATCTAATGTGTCTTAGTTAGCTCGTGCTGCTCTAGCAGAAATATCACAAGTAGGTGGCTTTAAAGAACAGAAATGTATTTTCTCACAGTTCTGGAGGCTAAAACTCCAAATCAGGATCTCAGCCATGTCGATTCTTTCCTCGTCAGTAGCCCTGGGTGCTCCTCAGTTCCTTGGCCTTCATGGGCTTGTAGATGACCCTCACATGGATCTCTCTTTCCCCATTTGTGTGTGTCTCTGTGTCTAATCTGCTCTTTTTATAACTCAGAAGTGATTAGATTTAGAAACCACCCTACTCGGTTGTGATCTACTCAATGTAACAAAGAAAACCCTATTTCCAAATAGTATTGCATACACAGGTATAGGGGTTAGGATTCCAACACATATTTTGGAAGGACACAATTTAATCCATAACGGAAGGAGAGGATTTAATCCAGAAGATAAGCTGTGTGTCATTTGAGGCACACACTTTCCCAGATTCCTTACCCTCCTCCTCCACCTTCCTTTCCAAAAGGTGATTCCTTGCAAAAATTAGAAGCCCCACACTCCTATCTGTTCCCATTTAACAGATTGAGAAACCAAGGCACGGAGAACTTTAAAACTCACAGAGAATTTAAAATATATTTTTAATTTTTAGTTGCATAATCTTTCCCCAAAACGAAACTTTACGTGGGTCACAGAGAATCACAGGAATTGGCTAAATTTACATGGGACTTCCGTTTCCCTCTCCCCACACACCTCCAGTGAAGGTGCTGCTGAGCCGTGAAAAGACAGAAGGGCTGGCAGCTACGGGAGAAGAGGCAACATTCAGGGCAGTGAAGAATACCTTCCTTGGATTTGTGGTTGGTTCGTTGTCATTGAAGCAGCCCTGGTGGCACAGTGGTTAAGCACTTGGCTGCTAACCAAATGGTCTGAGGTTCAAACCCACCAGTGGCTGTGCGGGAGAAAGACGTGGCAGTCTGCTTCTGTAAAAATTACAGCCTTGGAAACCCTATGAGGCAGTTCAACTCTGTCCTATAGGGTCACTGTGAGTCAGAATCGACTCAAAGGTAATGGGTTTAGTTGTCATCAAGTCAGCTCAGACTCATAGTGGCCTTATATATAACAGAATGAAATTTGCCTGGTCTTCATGATCTTTGTATGTTTGAGTCCATTGTTGCGGCTATTGTGTCAATCCATCTAACTGAGGGTTTCTCTCGTGTTCACTGGCCCTCTATTTTACCAAACATGGTGTCCTTTTCTAGCGATTGGTCTGTCCTGATGACGTATCCAAAGTCAATGAGTCCAAGTCTTGCCATTCTCCCTTATAAGGAGCATTCCAGTTGTATTTCTTCTAAGACTAATCTATTCATTCTTCTGGCAGTCTACAGTATATTCAGTATGCTTCGCCAGCACCACAGATCGAATGAGTCAATTCTTCTTCTGTCTTCCTTTATCATTAACTAACTTTCATGTGCATATGAGTCGACTGAAGAGACCATGGCTTAGGTCAGACCCAAAGGCGATTCTTGGATAATCCAGCATTAATAGCACCTTCAGATCCATCCACCTCCCAAATGCCTCTCCAGCTTTTGCTTCCTCAGCCTCCCAACAAGCATGAAGCCCCACTTTGCCAGACCTCTGCCACACTTCGGTACCTGTGCCCAAGCCTACCAGCCCAACTGGGTCATGGCTCCCCTCTCTACTGCCCGGGGAGAACGCACAAGCACCTAAGAACAGGACCTGTGCGTGGCCTTCCACCTCCTCGACCCCACAGGCATCACAGAGGTCATGTGACTATGGGTAGCCGTGCAGGAGGATGCAGTGCAGAATCCATCCAGAGCCTCAGGACCTGGCTAAAGTTTGCTTATCAGTGGGAGTCATTAAACATCAATTATGGTGGAACATTATGATCTTACGAAGCAAACCCTAGGAGGTAGTTCTGTGGCTCTGAGCATCCTAGGTGCCCAGTCCCTGCCCCATCTGTCCTCATGCCCCAGCAGTCACCCCTCTTTTAGAAGATGATTATACTTTTTTTGCACCCAATACAAAGAGTGCTAACATCACATGACTACCTCACTTCCTGTCACTACCAACAGGAGAGACCTTCACTGCAAAGACAGGGGGCCCTCCATCCTGTGTTTCTCTTCCCTATGTTTTCTGTTTTAGAATATGCCCTACATAGAAACAAGATAGTATCAACTCCTGGTGTATCTTATTCAGTTTTCTATTCTCTAGCCAAATAATGCTGTACTCTGATATTTGTAAAGAATATGGTGTTGAGATGTTCTTTTGGGTTAAAATTCTCATAAAATGATCAGAAACTAAAAAGCATTTTGTTCTCAAAATGCAATCATTTGTTTAATTTTTAAATAATATTTTCTTAATTATTCTCTTTGTAAAAACAAAAATGCAAGCAGCAAAGAGAGAAAATAACCTGCAATTCTTCCCCCACAGAGGAAATCACTAAGCTTGTTTCTGCATGTACATTTTTTTTCTTTACAAAGAAGTGGAATCATACCATAAACATTGTACATAAGCTGCTGCTTTCCCCAGTCATATACTGTAGGGATCTTGAGAATCTTCCCATGTCCATAATAATAACCTACATTATCATTTTTAATGGCTGCCTAGTATTCCATGGTCTGACTGTATCATAATTTATATAACTACTCCCCGATCAAAAGACACATTGCATTGGGAAAATCTGCTGCAAAAGACCTCTTTAAAGTGTTAAAAAGCAAAGACATCGCCTTGAAGAATAAGGTGTGCCTGACCCAAGCCATGGTATTTTCAGTCACCTCATATGCATGCGAAAGCTGGACAATGAATAAGGAAGACCAAAGAAGAATTGACACCTTTGAATTGTGGTGTTGGTGAAGAATATTGAATATACCACGGGCTGCCAAAAGAACAAACAAATCTGTCTTGGAAGAAGTACAGCCAGAATGCTCCTTAGAAACAAGGATGGTGATGTACGTCTCACATACTTTGGACATGTTATCAGGAGGGCTCAGTCCCTGGAGAAGGACATCATGCTTGGTAAAGTAGGGGGTCAGCGAAAAAGAGGAAGACCCTCAACGAGATGGATTGACACAGTGGCTGCAACAATGGGCTCAAGCATAACAATGATTGTGAGGATGGTGCAGGACCGGGCAGTGTTTTGTTCTCTTGTACATAGGGTTGCTATGAGTCAGAACCTTGATGGCATCTAACAACAACTCCCTAGTTGAGTGGTACTTAGGCATTACCAGTCTTGCTTCCTATGAACAGTGGAGGAATCAAAGAGACAGTTTTTTAGAGGTTCTTGTACACCAAGCCTTGATAATAACTGTGAGTTCATATGTGGTTCTCTTCCGTTGAAGCTTCTTTTATATTAGTAATCCACTAATGAGGGTAATCAATTAAGTGTTGTCATGGGCTCTATGAAAATACATAGCAGACTATGGACTCTGGTTTTGCATTCCATCAGAATTAGGTAGATCATTACAGGACCTGTCAAAATACCCTCCTGTTCTATGAGGTAAGTCTACAGATTTCGAGAAAATGACCTTCTTTTCCTCTAAAGCCAACTCTGGATACCTTTTCTTTCTCTCTGTTTTTGGGGTTTCCTTTCATGGGCACCACAAACATAGACAGTCCCTTTTGTCCTCTTCTGAATCTTGACTTTCAGAAGGCACTGAACACAAGTCTTCTTGGTTTTCTTTCCTGACACCTTCCCAGCTTCCAGGTGGAAGACTAGTTCTGAGAAATCCTTCCCTGGTTTTGCTTTCTGAGATACCCAACAAGTGCAAAGATCCTCCCACCCCTTCCCCAAATCCCACATGAAATAGTCACAAGCCATTCTCCCTATTTTCAGTGGTCTTTATAACAAGTGCTGTGTGAGTTGTATTCTTGTAAAACAGACCAGAAGACAGGAATCAGGTGAACCATAGAGATTTCAGATTTAATAGGTGTGTAAATGGATATTAATAGTTCCGCTCTGTACAGCAGGGTATGGTGCAAAATCAAATCAGGTTCGCGTCCAGTGGATTTGAAGTGGGCCACTTCTGTTTTGTTGGAAGTAACCAAAATAGATGGCTACCTTGTAATAGGCATAGACCTCAGTGTGCTAACTTATCATGATTAATGCCTTCTCGTTGATTTTCATTTCTCATTAGGAAAACTTAGCAAGACTCCAGCGGGCCTTTGCAAGGAAGTGGGAATTCATCTTTATGCAAGCAGAAGCACAAGTGAAGTAGGTGAACTTAATAGAGACCTTTGCAGAGAGTAAAAGACTGGAATTTGGAGGTGGTGTGCCGAGTGAGCTTGCCAAAGTGAGGTTTGCCTCCCCAGTCCATCAGCTGTCATTTGTCACTCCAAGCTCTCATAAGAGCAACTGAGTAGATATAAAGATCAGGATGAATGTTTTGTCTTTGTAACTATTGCCACTCTAAAACAATTTCATAAGTGTGGGCTTCAGCAGGCAATGGGGATCCTCCCAAATGCAGGACTCCTGCTATAAGAAGGTGTACCTGTTTCCAAACAGATTTTCAATTACTTTTCTGTGCTCAGAGGCTGGAAGACATCTGACCGACTTCACCTGTTGGTCTAGGAATTTCTTCTTCAAAGAAAAACATATTGGAGTTTGAGGGAGGCCAACAAATAACCTTTTTCTCCCCAGGGCAGGGGCTTAGAATCAATCAAAAAATGAGACACAGAAGTCAGACAGATGGAGTCCAAAATGTCAGCTTATTACTGGTAATAATGCTATATAGGGCATAGCTTTGTATCTGTGGCCACAGATCTGGACTTGAACTTGTCCATCGTGAGCAGAGCTGGATATCTACAGTCTTCCCCCACCAACCAGGGCAGAGCTGATACCTGTGAGTTCACTGCATGGAGAGAACAGGCATCCTGAGGACAGGCTGGTCCAGATGGGTGCCCAGAAAAGACTGACCTGAGCATCCTCCATTTCTCGTTTCAAATCTACCATTAAGTTAAGTCACTCTTTCTCCCCTGGAGGAGAAGAGATGAAACAGGGAGAAAAGTCGCAAGTGTTCTTCACATATTTTCTTTTTCCCTCCCAGGGAGTATAGTAAAAATTCCTTCTTCTCTAGGCAACATGAGGTGTGGGGAATAAATGCTCCCCCCCGCCGCCCCGGCCCAAACAACATGATTGTCAATCAGATCCTTTTAAATCTGGAAATGAAACTGCTCGGGGCAGGTTCTCCTTTGTCCTGCCCAGCGATGACCTCTGCATTAGCAGGAGTGTTACCAAGAGAAGTGGGACAGAGGAGGGCGTGGGATCTGGGAGAATGCAAGTACCTTTTCCCTGGGACACCACCTGCATTTTGTGCAAGCCCCTACCTCCACCGCATGGGCCTCAGAGGACCTGGTTCATAGCCTGTGGGCAGTGTTGCAACCCATTGCAAGAGCCAGGTCTCAAGCTGTGTGGGTGAGGATTGATCATTGCTATGGATCCTTATAGGAAATGACCCAAGAGGCCATCTGGTCCAGTGGTTTGCACAGTACCATTGCACTCACCTTCCTCTGCACATCGCTGTCTTTCCCCTGTCCATGATGCCAGCCACCCGCTGACCATCTAGGTGCTCCTGGCAGCCCCTGAGAGAAGTGGGCACCAGGCACTGGGTGCTAGTTGCGGCAGGAGGAGCCCTGACACCTCCTGAGGGGGGAGGGGAGAGAGGAGGCTGGGATTTGCTTGATGCTGAATTGTGCCTGTCTACCTAGAAGCAGTAGGAAGCAAAGAGGAGCGTGAATTGGTACTTTCAGAATCAGATAGCATCACGTTAGAAAAAGAAGGGGAATCATCGCTTTGTAGGTATTTGGTATTTCTCGAGTAACTTTTTTGATGAACTCTGTGATTACATTACAATTGCAGACCATTTAAGTACACGTTAATTATTACAAAAAATCACAGGGTGATTATGGGTTTATTTCAGTCCAGTACAGTAAGGTACTCCCAACCGAGCCGAGAACCAGAAGTTACATGGCAATTAATCTGAGTTACTTTTTACTTAGAGAGATAATACGAAGGAATACACACTTTCGTAAAGCCTCTTACCTGTGCTGCTGATGGAGCCTGTAGAATCTGCCTTTGTCAGCTGTAATTTCCCCCGTGCAATCTGTGCCTCAGCTGAGTCTTCTCGCACACCAGGGCCATTGCTCTGCGTTTGGAAAGCCAGGTGGCTTAAGTGATTTTTAGAACTCATAATTTCAGCATTTTGAGGGCATTTCTACTGACTCTGGATCTAAAGCAGATTTTCCAATTTGAGAATGAAACATTGGCAAGTGCATGGTTAGATTCCTTCCTATAATTTGTGTATACAATATCCACTTTGATGTAGCTATGCCAGTGGATAGTTCGGTGTTTAATACTCCAAAGCTTAATAATTCAAATGGATAGTTGCATTCTTGTTCTCCCCTTAAGCCCACCATATTCATTACATATATGTGGTAATTTGTAAATCCAGCCTGAAACCAGGTCTCTTGTCCACGAGTGGACTCTCTGAGGTTTCTTGGAGGGAATTGTATGCCCACATTTCCCAGGTCTGCAGACAGTAAGAGGTTCCTGTGTGGCGCAGATGATTTGTTCTCAGCTACTAACTAAAAGGTTGGCAGGTCAAACCCACCCAACGGCACTGGGGAAGAAAGTCCTGGCGATTTGCTTCCGTAAAGATTACAACGAAGAAAACCCCGTGGAGCTCAGTTCTACTCTGTAATACATGGGATCACAACAACATTCTTTATATTACGGGATCACCATCTCAGAATCGATTTCATGACAACGAGTGTGTTGCAGAGAGCAGGGGCACACAGGTTCCCTCTGCCTTGTGTGCGCTTAGCTCCTTAAATGGGAGCAGAGAGCTAGGGTAAGGGTCGGGGAAATACAGAATGCAAAAGCCTCTGGTTTCCTTTCTTTGCTCTTTCAGGATTGACCGGAAAAAGGACAAGACAGAAAGGAAAATTTTGGATAGTCAAGAGCGAGCCTTTTGGGATGTCCACCGGCCAGTGGTGAGAAAGTTTTGCCTGGTTCTCTGGGTGTTGTCATTTTCTCATTTCCTTCTCTTGAAAGAAAACAGTCTTTAGCCACCAGGTGTCTCCTTCTTAAGAGATTCACTAAACTCTGTGAAGCTGGCTTTGCTGTTCATTCTTATAATCTCAGTAGATTTCCCAGAATGTATGTCTCTTCCACCCTTTATAAATATCCATCCATGACAACATGGGATTGGAAACGGGGGAGCCTGTGGGAATTCCACCGGGGAATCTTTGGGCCCCAGAAATTTGCATTCCCAAAATAAACAATTTTTACTTCTACTGCCATTCAATGCTAAATTCTCTTTCAAACATTCCTAATTTTAGATTATGAAAATAAATCTTACATTCCCCTCATGATATGGAACTAAAAATGAATAAACTATTTTAGCCTTCCTAAAAGCTGATTAGGGGTCCCTGGGTGGTGCAAACGGTTAGCTCACTCAGCTGCTAACTGAAAGGTTGACAGTTCCAGTCTGCCCAGAGGTGCCTCAGAAGAAAGGCCTGGCGATCCTCGTCCAAAAAATCAGCTCTATGGAGCACAGTCCTACTCCAACACACGTGGGGTCACCATGAGTTTAAATTGACTCGATGGCAACTGGTGGTTGGAGACTGATTAAAAGCAAAAACAAATAGCTTCCCATCTAGGTAAAGGAGTCTTTTTAGCCAGTTACATATGTGAAATAACAAAGGCTGTGGCTGAATCGATCTTGTCACTTTGAATAGTAAATTTGCGCTCAGAAACTGTACATTATACCCTCCACATATCATCGTTAGATAGTATGAAACAAGCTTTTCTATTTTATATGAGAACTCCATGGAGAAACAATACTGAATATGGAACATCTTTTTAAAAAGATTGTAAATGGCATGGAGATAATCATGCATTACTTGTAATGGGAAAGATAAAGATTCTGATGGTGCCGTTTGGACTAAAGTGGAAGGGTGATTTTCACCTAGTAATTTACATGATGATTTTTTTTTTTCTCAGCCAGGTTGTGTGAACACAACAGAAATGGACATCAGAAAATGTCGACGTCTGAAGAATCCTCAAAAGGTTAAAAAGGTTTGTGAGTTTAGCTAAATTAAAAATGTTTGATGCGAATAGCATTTCCATTTCTGGTACTGTTCAAACAATAATTTGCTATTTGTCCTTCTGTCACATTACATCTTTGAAACCTTTCATTCATTCACTTACTCTACAAATATATATCAAGTGGCTGATTTGTGCTAGGCGCTGTACTTGCTGCTGAGGTACAGTGGCCTGTCCTCATGGAACCCACAGTCCAGGGAGGACGGAGATGAAATAAGCACACAGGCAACAGCATAGGGGAAGTGCAGGGTGATACAGGAGTGCCGAGAAGGGGCAGCCCTGGGGCTTCCTGAAGCAGGATCAAGTGTCCTGAGGCCTGAAGGATAGATAGCAGTTGGTCCCTGGGAGATGGCAGGGGGTAAGGAAACTAAAGGAACAAGAAGCGGGGAGTGCGGGTGGGGATCCCACAGGTGAAAACAAGCTTGATACTCTGAACCAAGTGAAAGTCTTTTAGTATGGCTAGATCATCCAGGGGGCAGTGGTGGTTCAATGGTAGAATTCTCTCCTTCCATGTGAGAGACCTGGGTAGGATTCCCGACCAATACTCCTCACGTGCAGCCACCACCCCTCTGTCAGTGGAGGTCTGTATGTTGCTATGATACTGAGCAGATTGCAGTGGAACTTCCAGACTAAGACTAGGAAGAAAGACTTGGTGATCTACTTCCAAAAATCATTCAGTGAAAACTTTGGATCATAACAGTCCAACCCCATGGTGCATGGGTTTGCCTTGAGCCGGGGTTGACTCTGTGGCAGCTAACAACAACAGATCATCCAAAATCATCATCTTGCCCAACTGTGAGTGACTCAGTGATCACTTGTGTTTCATTTTACCAGAAGAGGCAGTGGCCAGGCATACCCATGGGTGCCACACTCAGACTGCCCCAAGATCCATACATATCACCCTTTCCATGCCACCAAGGACCTTAAAGTGGGAGGACATGGCTATCCTCCGTAATGGTAATTTCAAAAGATTAGAGATATGTCTCCAAACATCCCTATTTCTTGTAATGGCCAATATGGATCTCTGTCTGTCTCTCTGTATGTGTGTGTCTCTCTGTCTCTATCTCTCATGTATCTATCTATCTATCTATATCTATATCTATACCTCTTGAAACTACTTATATTATTCTTCACTGGGATAATAGTTGCCCACTATATTATATCTTATAATATTAGTCTTAAAATCTCTTCATTTAATCTTTACTAGCCATTAAGTACTTGACTGCTATCGGAAACGTTGGTGGTTCACACTCACCCAGAGTGACCTCGGAAGACAGGCCTGACAATCCACTTCTGAAAGGTCACAGCCTTGAAAACCCTGTGGAGCAGTTTTACTCGGCACACATGGAGTCGCCATGAGTCAGAACTGACTTGATGGCAACTAGCAACAACAATTCTAATATTCTAGAATTTCATGGAGCCCACAGCCATCCTATCTAAGCCCTCTTGATTTTATAGATTTCAGCTATACATTGCATACCTTTCAGGCTTTTATTTTTTTCCCAAAGCTAAGAGTGTCTTTAGTCTGTCCCTAACACAAAGAACTGCTTGAAAAGTTGCCATAGCTGTGGGCATGTGGACAAGCTAAGGCTTAAAAGGAGAATACCCCAAACTCTGCCATCTCAGTTTTATACTAGATGGGCATATCATCTGCTGACGAACCAAAAATCTAGAAGGGATCTTTTTTGTTTTTAAATATTTTGTTTTGTTGTTGTGGAAAATATATGCAGCAGAACATATACCATTTCAACAGTTTCTACATGTATAATTCATTGACATCGGTTATATTCTTCAAGTTGTACAACCGTGCTCACCCTCATAGAGGGGATCTTTTGTGCATAACCTTCAGCGGTAGCTCTTGAGCTTTCTTGTGCCTCAAAATCACCTGGGGCATTTGATGAAATGCAGATTCCCGAGGCCCGCCCACAAAGGTCTGGATTCAGTAGGTCTGGGGTGGGCTAACCAATCCGCATGTTTTAAAGTATTCCCATATGATTCTTTGCAGATGGTGTACCGACCACCTTTTGAGAAACACTGACATAATAGGAGACAGTTGTCAGCTCAATAATAGGAAAGATTTTCTAGCAGTGGTCTCCCAAAGATGGGATGAGCTGCCTCAAGAAGCAGATTCCCGATCAGTGGAGAAAGTCAGGCAGAGTCCACACACACCTCTTGTCTGGAGTGTCATAGAGGGGTTTTGAAGCACGGATGAGTGGTTGAACTAGCTGACCCCTAAGGCATCCTTCCACTCCGAGAGGGTGCATGACTCTATGCTCTTGCTTCTCCTCCTCCAGTCAGTGTATGGCGTGACTGAAGAGTCCCAGTCACAAAGTCCTGTGCACATACCTGCCCAGCCAGTCAGGAAAACAACAAAAGAGGACATCCGGAAGCAGGTGAGTGAGTTGAGTATCATACACCCAGGAGGAGAAGTGGCCAGTTTAAAAGCCCTTTTAATGTTCACCTCTGAAGGCTGAGTGAGCTTTGAGTTCCTGGAAGCCACAGTGGAGCCCAGCTGTGATTGGCTTGAAACTTTGACTGCTGTGTATGAACAGGCCACGGAAGCTCGAGAGTGAAAATTGTCTACCAACCAGCAGTTATTGGAGTTATCCCAGTGCTGCTGGTGGCTGCTGCAGTCAACTGTCCCATGGACAGCTGTGGGAGCCAAGAGGAAGAAGGGACTCAAGTCACAGGGTTCTTAAAATTGTCATGTGGTTCCTGAGTAAACCAGCTCAGGACCTCTGACTTTATTAAAGCTGTGATTCCCCAGGCAAGTTTAAAAATAAAGAAAGTCCCATTCCCAATGCTTCTTCAGAATTATTTGGTTCAATGTTGTTTTCCTTCCTGATGAGGAGCTAACTGGTCAGTTTAGATCAGCATAGGATGGCTCATTTCCTAACTCCTTTCTGGAGTTTCACTGGTAATGATGCAATTTTAGGACCTATTCTTTACACTGAAGCATTAATAGTTCAGTGGTAGAATTCTCACCTTCCATGCAGGAGACCCAGGTTCGATTCCCAGCCAATGCACTTCATGCACAGCCAACACCCATCTGTCAGCAGAGGCTTATGTGTTGCTATGATGCTGAACAGGTTTTAGCAGAGCTTCCAGACTAAGATGGACTAGGAAGACAGGCCTGGTGATCTACTTCCAAAAAAATCAGCCGATAAAAACCCTATGTATCACAACAGTACAGTCTGCACCAGGCAGCATATCATTCTGTTGTGCTTGGGGTCACCATGAGTCAGGGCCGATGGCAGCTAACAACAACATTCTTTATATTATGCTTTACTGGCTTCTGGGGGAAAACCAAAAGGAGTAAACTTTTAGGTGCCTGTCCCTGACAAGTTTATTATTGGGTGTGGAAGAGGAAAGAGACATATGTTAAATAGCTATTTGATGATTCTTGTCAAATGCGACAAGCACATGGGTATGATGTATGCGTGAAAGGTACAAAGACGAAAGGGCACTGGAGATTGGTCAAAACAGGTATTTATGGTACACATTATCACCTGTCCCTGCTGTTGCTAAGCTTTGTAGAATATATTCTACCTTTAAGTTTGCAATTGTTAGCAAGGGTCTCAGGTCTCACGAGGCACAGCCATAGAGACACGACATGAGTGAAAGCCCAAGAAGAAGCTTTATTTGGTTGGCCAAGCAAAGGAGCACACTGGAACTTGCATCGCCAAAATGGCTCCCTGAACAATGACTGAAACAGTTTTTATTAGTGACAAGAACCGAGGAAGCGTCCTGCTGGGAAAGAGCAAGGGTGTTGATTGGTCTGGCCCCGGAAGGTGTTCCCAGGGCGATTCCATTGTTTGCACTTGTTCAGTCCAAAATGGGGGGTCTCTCAAACCAGATCTTAGGCTCGGACCCTTTGCTTCTGCAAGTCTTCCCCCAATCTTGGACTGCTAAAGTTTGGTTCCATCAGGTGAGAGAAAAGTTCCAGGGTCACCCAGAGGATGGGGGTTGATGGTTCTCCGCATGTCAGGCAGGGCAGATTTGGTCTTAAGTGGTTCTGTGGTCTGCGACCCCAGCCCAGCCTAGTTTTTCTTATCTAGGGCAGGAAGTTGGCCAATTGCCTAAAAAACATCTGGAGAAACCAGTTAGAAGGGGAGGTGGCTCATGCTACTCACAAGTTGGGTGTTGGTAATGGTCCCCAGAGGCTGTCATCTCACAATCACCTTGGGGCCTCTAAGACTTAAATTATAACACAGTCCAAGACAGTATGTGATCAAAGGCTAAATTGTAGAGAGTGAATCTTCCGTGACACAGGAATTTCCAAAAGGGTAAAATGGTGTAAGCTGGATGATTGGAGAAGCTTTCCCAGAGGAGCTATTTGGATCTTAGTGGAAATAGAGGATTCAGGTCCATGAGATGAAGGGGAAAAAAGAATCCTATTTTTGCCCTAACATCGTTGTTCTCTCTTTCCCCAGATAACATTTTTGAATGCACAGATTGACAGACATTGTTTAAAAATGTCCAAAGTGGCTGAAAGGTATGTTTCCTCTTCATAATATTACTGCTTTCTGCTAATTTAACAAAGGAGAAGTGTTACAGGGCTATGCTTAACAAGTGTGTGCCATTCAAGAGCCCCGACTGTAGTCATTCCTTTAACTGATGTGCAAAAAACCACAGGCCCCGAGTGAGTATAACTAAGATAACAGACCTCCCCAGAGAGATGTCAAGAAATGTCCTCTAGCTAAAGCTATTCAGAGGATGGCCAGGAGACTTTGTCAATCAAGGAAGACTGCCCTTAAAATCTACATAATGCACTTTTCCCTCTTGATTAATTCAAAGGGAATTGCTCCCTTTTCAGCTATAAAATGCCCAGATTCACTTTACAGGGGGAAAGAAATTATGTGTGCCCTTCGACATACTGGC